CTCTTCACAAAATATTAAAACAGCAATGTTTTTTGTTTTTCACCCCAAATCATCCCCAAGCAATCATGGCTGTCTGGGGAATTCTGGGAGTTGAAATCCGCACATCTTAGAGTTGCTAAGATTGAGAAACACCAGTATAGATTTTGATTTAGGTGAGTTCCTACCATATACAGTACCAAGCCATAATGTAATTTGCTGAGTTTGGATTTCGAGTCTGGCATGACTGCGGCTGTTCTGGCTCGTAAATCATGATTTATTGCTTAGCATTTTATGCAAACCTAGCTAATTTTAGTCAGTAAAGTCAGCTTAAACAAACCCTGGATAAATGCAATAGGGTTAGGAACCAACCCAGTATCGAGCAGCTGCCTCAGAATCAGCTCTGTAAGCATCTAGTCCTCATGGTTACAAAGGAAAGTACTTTTCTTTCTTTTTTAATCTTACGGGTTATTGGATAAACAGCTTTAACCATTGAGAACGGAGAAGCAAGACCTCTTTGTCATCCAGCATTTTCTTTTCCCTTCTCTCCTATCCCACGGCAAGCCAAATGCCAAAGTGAAGCCCACACAGATGCCACGGCTGCTTCTGCTTGCGTTCTGCAGCAACTGGCTTCAATTCTGGGAGTAATGTCAGAAAAAGAAACCCCAATCCATTGTTTCCATACCATGGGTAAATGTAAATATGTCTTTCTTACGCCCTTCCCAAATGATTTTTATTTTATTTTTTACAAAATGATATGGGGATCTTGCATCTTCAGCCTTGCATAGTGTATGGGGATAAGTCCCTTTGTCCCTTCCTTAGCTAATGACCTTCCCCACCCTACTACCCGCAGGGCCATCTTGGGGAAAATGTAAGGAGGAGGAAAAAAGGCCCCTTTTGCAAGTTACTCTCATCATCTTTATAAGCTAAATCACTGAGCTTAGACATTGTGCAGGATGAAAGCTAGCAGCAGACAGCAACATATTGAAGACTGAGCTCACTTGCTGAGATAGGATAGGATTCTGCTATTCCATATTATTCTTTAAGAGGTGAGGAAATCTAACGCAAATATTCTGGGAAATGGTACTATGCCTTCCAGCCCCAGGAGCAGGGGAAAAAATGAAATGAAAATTTGGTCAGGGTTCATCGTTTTAAAAGACTACATTTCGGAAATTGCTTCCTATTTCCTCTTTGGATGGTTAACCTGTGCTGAATGCCAGCTCTTGACATGGATTCTGTGTGAATCTAACTATTGTGGTTTGTGAAGTATTGATTGTGGCTCATCAGAATGTAGGAACCGAGCAGATGACAAAATTGGGCATATTTTGTGCATGAATTTGGCCAGTGTGAGAAGTTTTTTTACTTGTTCAGGCTTCCCTTCTGGATCGCTGTCTGGCTGACAGTCCTAGCAGCAGCTGAAACAGAATAAAAATAGACAGCATTTTGGACTCTCTGCCCCAATGTTTTTCAACCCTGGCAACTTTAAGACATGTGGACTTCAACTCCCAACATTCCCCAGCCAGCATGGGTTCCCCGCCTGGCTAGGGAATTCTGGGAGTTGAAGTCCACACGTCCTAAAAATGCCACCCTTGGAAAACACTGCACTAAAGGGAGGTGTGGTGGCCAAACGTTTAGGAACCCCTCCCTTAAAGCCATAAAAGGCTAAGCGTCAAAGCCATAAAAATAAAACAATTCAACACTTACAATCCTATCTTCACGATTGCAATATTTTAACGGATATCACTCAAGCATTGACATTTTAAATGCTCTGTAAGTGTTAGCACGCTCGTTCTCCTCCAGCCTCCCCTAATTCGGTGTCGCGCTGTTTTCCACTTCTCGATGTTTTGTATATAACGCATATGTGTATACAACGTATAATGTATATTTGTATATAAAGACCCATTTTTGTTACAGAGCAGGTTCGTAAGTACTTAAAAGCCCTGAAGGCAAGCTTAGCCGGGCCACACTTGGTCTCTCCCTCACTCAGCTCTTTGGAAGAATGTCCGTAGGAAGTAACAATAAATAGCCTCTCCTCGTGTATTTGCAGACCTCCCTAACCAGTTAGCAAACAAAAAGAAATTTCGCGCAGCTGGAAGTGCGTTTCAGGGACCAAACTTTCACCGGGTCCCAGATGCCGGAGTTCGTGCGCATGGATTGTCCTCTTCTGTGTCCCGCACAAACCTAACTTCGAAATCTTAGAAAGGAAGGAGATTAACCCAGTTTGTTAGTTCACTGGAGTGGAAAAACCTCTACAACCCCGTCCCCAACTTTCGTTTTTGTCGCTTCGCCTCTCCGGCGCTGCCCTTGACTCTTTGCACGCCATCCCAGATAACACAGCTGCGCTTACTCTCTTCTTTTGCACTTGCCCCCCCCCCACTTTCGTTTTTGTCGCTTCGCCTCTCCGGCGCTGCCCTTGACTCTTTGCACGCCATCCCAGATAACACAGCTGCGCTTACTCTCTTCTTTTGCACTTGCCCCCCCCCCTATTCTTAACAACGGGGCTCCTTCCTTCCAGCCTCCCCTTCCTTCAAGGGACTCCTTTTCCTCACATCCTTTTTTTCCCCTACGGCGGAGGCGACGGGCTGCGGGGTGAAAAAAACACGACGTCAGGCGCATTCCCGGCGGAGGGATCTTGCCGAGGTCGGGTGGAAAAAAATTCGCAGTGGCCGAGGGGGGAAGGGAAGGGAAGGGAAGGGAAGAGAGAAGGGATGCCGCGGCGAGCATCGGAGGGAAGGCGAGAGCGGAGGCGAAGGGAAACGAGTCCCGGGAGTTCCGGAAAGAGCCGAAGGTTG